TTTGGGTTGGGCTACAGGGAGAATGCAGGCATGGTGTCTGCTGGCTTCTCTAGTCTCTGAGCAGGATGGCAGTCTCTCCCTAGGTGCAAGATAAATTAGAAGCCTGACCCTTAGGCTACAGCTTTTTATAATATGCAAATAGGCTTCTTTCAGGGAGAGACTTGAGACAAGAGCATTAGGGTGTGTCTAATTCTGTACTGATTCTGCATTGACCCCTGGACATATAGCTGGTTACGAACTGTTTTCTTGGTTAGTCATAGTTCTATTGAACCCACAAACAATACTGCTGGCCACCAGTGCCAGGCTATCGAGGAATGTGCCCTCTAGGGGGCAGCCACAAAAGCTAGTGCAGGGGCGCCTGGGTGGCGCAGTCGGTTAAGTGTCCGACTTCAACCAGGTCACGATCTCACGGTCCGTGAGTTCGAGCCCCGCGTCGGGCTCTGGGCTGATGGCTCAGACCCTGGAGCCTGTTTCCGATTCTGTGTCTCCCTCTCTCTCTGCCCCTTGCCCGTTCATGCTCTGTCTCTCTCTGTCCCAAAAATAAATAAACGTTGAAAAAAAATTAAAAAAAAAAAAAAAAAAAAAAAAAAGCTAGTGCACCAAACATGTGCACCAGCCCCTTTTAGGAAAACACTAGTGACCTAGAGCAGGGCAAAGGGAGAATGCAAAGAAGACATCTACTGGTCTCTGGAGAGGATAGCAGTCTGGTCCTAGATGTGTGCTAAATTAGCAACCAGACTTGCAGGCTGCAGCTTTTAAGACCGGCAAATAAGCCTCTTCTAGAGAAAGACTGGGAGGGAAATGAGCATTTTTCTCTGCTGCCTCTGGTGAAATATCCAGAATAAGTCCAAACCAGTTAGGAAACATTTCTTTGTTTGCTATAGTCTTGTGGGTCTTGTACACACAAGCCCCTTTGGCTTTCAAAGCTAGGTGTTTGGGAGGCTCATCCCTCAGAGGAAGTCTTAAAATTGGGGACATTAGATGTTGAATCCACACCCTTCAATCTGGCAGGGGGGTGGGATATATAAGTTTCTTCCTGATTATTTGCTGCTGTGCCATAAGTGGGGTTTATGGCAAGGGTGTGTCTAAGCTCCTCCTTACCCCTTTTACTAAGGTGGAGTTGTTTTTTGTTTGTTTGTTTTTTGTTTGTTTTTTCCTCTTCCTCTCCTCATTTGCCCATGTAGGAGTTTCTCAGCTAGTTTCCAGATTTCTTGCAAAAGGGATTGTTCCATGGGTAGCTGTAGATTTGGTGTGTGCATGGGAGGAAATTATTCAGGAGCCTCCTGTGTCACTGTCTTGAACCAGAACTTTATTTTTCTTAAAACTCAGTAATTAGGTGTATATGCATTTAAGATTGATATGTCTTCTGGACTTACTATTATCTTTTGCTATGAAATATCCATCTCTAGTAATACTTGTCTTGAAGTTGCCTCTTATCCTATGTCTTTCTTTTTTAATCCTTTTATAACCTATCCGTGTCTTTTTTATTTCCTTAAGTCTCTTATAAACACCATTGAAGCTTGCTTTTCATCCATGATGATGATAATTGTATTTAAAGTGGTGGTGCTTAATCTTACATAATTTGTGGTTGGGTTGAAGTCTGTCATCATATTTTTCTCTTTGGCCTACTTATTTCCACCTTTGGATTAAATATTTTTTAGTATTCCATTTATTGCTTCTATTGGCTTTATAACTACACCTTTTACATTTATTTAGTAGTTGTAAGGTTATACACTTATTTCTGCCTACCTTAAATAACATACCATTTATGGGGTGCCTGGGTGGCTCAGTCGGTTAAGCGTCTGACATCAGCTCAGGTCATGATCTCACGGTCCCTGAGTACGCGCCCCACGGTCTCTGTGCTGACCGCTCAGAGCCTGGAGCCTGTTTCAGATTCTGTCTCCCTGTCTCTCTGTCCCCCACTCACGCTCTGTCTCTGAAAAATAAACCTTAAAAATTTTTTTTTTAATTTAACATACCATTTATGCCTGTATAATGTGTATGTTGTAAATGTGTACTTCCACCTATCCCATTATTTATGGTATAATTATATTTTACTTCTCCATGTCCTAAATCTTAAATTTGCTTTATATTGTTTCTGGTTATACACTATGACATTCAACAAACAGTTAATTGGATTTTAAATAAATAAAAATTATTTTTCTGGGGCCTAAATTATTTCTGGCACTCTTTTATCCTTCATGAAGATACATGTTTCATCAGATCTCATGTGCCTCCAATGTGAAGAACTTCACTTAATATTTTGTGTAGTGCCGGTCTTCTGAAGTCAAATTTTCTTAGCTTTCATAAAATTTAAAGGATATAGAATTTTATGTAGATAAAGCTCGACAGGTTTTTACTTAAGCACTATAAAGACACTGCTCCACTGTCTTCAGTATGTTTTTTTCTGGTCAGTTGTTTGTTGTTTTGTTAATGAGTCTTTTTTCCTGTCTGCTTTTAAAATTTCCCCTCTATTTTCCAGCAGTTTGATAGTGATATGCATAGGTGAGATTTCCTTTATCTTGTTTGCAGTTTGAGTTTCTTGGATCTGTGTTTTTTTTTTTTTTTTTTTTGAAGTCAAATTTGGGCATTTTTCATTACTCCACATGTATTTTTCTGCCCTAGTCTCTCTTCTCCTTCTGGATTCCAGCTGTACATGTTAGGCCCCTTGTTATTTATCCTATATGTTATTAGATCTGTTGGTTTCTTAAATCCTTTTACCTCTGTGCTTTCAGTTTGGAGTTTCTAATCTGCCCTCAAGTTCATCTTTTCTTCTTGTATATTTTTATGGTCATCTAATCAGTTTTTCATTTCAGAATGTATCTTTCAGCTGTACAGTGTTCATTTTTTTTTCTGAGATTCACTGCCTGTTCATTGTTAACCTTTTCCTTTACAATTCTGAATATAATCGTATAGTAAATCAAAGTGCTTGTCTGCTATTTCTAACATCAGTATCAAGTCTCGGTGTTTTTATATTTTTCTCCTTAGTCATATTTTCTTGTTTGTCCTCATACCCAGTATTTTTTTGTTGTGTGTTTGATGTTGCTGAGAATCTGCATTTTGTTGTCTTCCTTTAAAGAGTGTCAGTTTTGTGCTGGCAGGCAGTTAACTTATTGGCAGGTCGAGTTGATCCTGTTGTCTTTAGTTTTAGGCTGCCTTGGACTTGAGTAATTATTCCCAAAGCCTGGCCTTTTTTTGAGGCCTCTGTTGAATGCCTGGGTGATCAGCAAGGTCTTGTTACTCTGTACAGAACTCCAGTGTCTCACAGAACTGCATGCATCCAGAAGGTCTTTTCAGTTTCAGCTGATGTTGCTCTTCTCTGCCAGGCCTTTTGGGCCATCACCTTGTACTGTTTATCATTGAGACACATTTAAGAGAATAATCCGATTTCTGGAGTTGCTTCTCAGTGTACCTCCCTCCTCTCCAGTAACCTCATCAGATTGCAGCAAGGAACCCTAAACTGTGAGGTTTTCTTCCATCTAGAGACACCACTTCCAGCGTCCATTTGGAAAATGCCCTCGGGCAGTCTGGGTAATTGTATAACTCACCTCTTCTGTTCCCCCAGAAATCAGTCCTGGGCTGTTGTCCATTGTGTGAAAACAGCAGTTTGTGTTTTTGGTGTAATAGTTGATTACAGTGAAGGGTAATCATTCCTCCATACTCCATTACTCCATCCTTGTTGAAACGGGAAGCTGTCCTTTTATTTTTAAATTTAAATTTGATGGCTATTTTTAATTTGCCCTGCTACTTACCCACATACACCATTTTTCTTGAGTACCCTGGGGTGAAGGCAGGGACATTCACAAGCAACAGAATGTCTGGTCAGTCCTTATTCCATGTACTCTTTTCAGGTTAGGCTTAGGGATCACGGCCCCTTTTTTCTCCCAGGAATGTATACAATGTAGTTTAAAAGTCTGTATGATCTGATCAAAATGGCTTTATGCAATAAAGCTTGTAACCAAGTTAAATTTTTAAATGACCTTTCAGTCTAATTTTCATTCTGGGTGCCTCAGTGATTGTCAGGCTGGGACTTGCTCTCATTTAATAGGTTTAATTTGGAAGAGTTTTTACTACTTCTGTTGACCACTTGTTTTTTCAAAATTAAAAGGTTCTGAACTAAGTTCACATACTCAAGACTGCCTAAAACCACTAAGAGCCATGCCTAAATCTTGTTTTCAAACCCCGAAGTGATTTTTTTTTTTTATGTTTTTGAGAGAGCACACAAGCAGGGGAGGGGCAGAAGGGTAACAGAATCCAAAGCAGGCTCTGAGCCATCAACACAGAGCCCAACACGGGCTCAAACTCACAAACCATGAGATTGTGACCTGAGCTGAAGTCAGACACTTAACCAAGCCACCCAGGTGCCCAAGTGATTCTGCTTTTTAAACATTCTTTCCAGAGCTAGACTTTTAAGGGGTGAAGAAGACATCATTATAACTATCAATTAAAATTGAGTGTTTTCCTCTATCCCAAATAGCTGGTTGACAGTGATAAGGAAACGATTTAGAATTCTGGGACGTATAAGAGTGTAAGAATTCATCTGAAACAGCTCCTTGGAGAAGTAGATTTTGAATTCTAAGGTGAATTATGATCCTGTAAGCACATAACATTGCAACTGAACAGAAAAATACGGACATTTTAGTCCTTTTTTATACTAAGGAAAAAGGAATAGGTATTCAATAAACCCATTACAAAAAGGTTAAGAAATTCAGAAGACAGACTTTTTATGCCTAACACAAATTCTGGGGACTTGTGTGAAAATACAGACATTAAGCACATCTAAATAAATGTAAATCAAGATAGGGTATATAATTCAATAAACAGCCATAGGATAAGCTGCTAGGTCATGTCCAACAGATTTCAAAGTAATCATGAGAATGGAAAAGAAAGGTTTTAACCTTAAATAATTCTAGGAATACCCAAATAATACTACAATATTATAAGTATTTTTGCCCAAATGTTAGTTTTAATGACAAAGTAACTCAAAATTGACACAGGGATAGTTTTCACAATTTATTGAATTGCAAGTTAGATTGTTATGTTAATGAGAGAATAAATCTCCAAAAATATTTTGGCAGGTTTGTGAATGTACCTTTAAGTGTATGCCAACATTATTGGACTCTTTAAATTATTAGAAGCTAAGAATATGAAGTACTTACCAAGTTTACAATAAAAATATTTTTTAAAATACCATATTTGGTAATAAATTAGATTTATAGAATTGATCATTCAAAATAAATTAAACCTGAGTTATAAATGCTTCCTACTCTGCCCACCCCCAGCATACCTAAGTTATAGTTCTTTTACACCAGTATGTCTCAAATGAGCATACAGATTCCTTGAGGATCTCATTAGATGCAGTTTCTGATTTCAGTAATCTGTTGTGGGGCCTGAAAGTCCACACTTCTACCAAGCTACAAATGAAGCTAATGTTGGTCTTTAGACCACCCTTAGGTCACCTTGCTGCTCGAATATACAGTGAAGACAATTTCTGGTTTAATGGGACTGTATGGTTTTATCCATTATTCAAGGCTGTCAGATTTTGGAATCAAACATAATCACAAACGATCACCAAAAAAAGTCTTGGAAGAAAAGAACGTTTTTGTTAAGCGCTTAAAGTATACCAAATTGGCAGTGTTTCTATTGGTCTGACAGTGATACCTTTGATACTATATAGATCAGGATGCCAAGTTCTTGTAACTGTAAAAAACAGTTACTATAGATAGCTTGAGGCTCTCTTCAGTTCATTCAAGTCCAGAAACTTCAAGCCAGTACACTGCAAAACCACTATTAAAAAATCTTTAATGGTAAACTGTCCATATAAATTACTTGTAAACTCACTTTAAGCTATCCCGTCTCCCCCTCCTCTTTCCACAAACAAATGTTTTTTCTTCTGCCTTGTAGCTAAACAGCGTGTAACACCCAATGCCCCTCCCTTTAAAAATCGAACAAAATTGTCTCCAACCAAAGGACCCAATGCAAAAAGGTTGGCTTCTTTAACACATTCGTAGGTATATGCATCTATTTCCACAGGATTAGTCTTACATGTGATGGGCTGGCTTGAGTTGTGGCCCAGGTAACACCCTTGCTCCTTCAGAAAAGACAGATTGGGATGAGAACCTATCAGTACTACTGCTGCAGAGAGCTTAAATATTTTCTTCAATCCAGAGATGCTTTGAAGAATGCATTTCATGTCCGACTTAAAGGAAAGCACATGGTGCTCAGGAAAACTGGTATAATCAGAAAGAAGAGTGGAGTCTACAGAATATGACTGAGTACACATCATATGATAGACTTTATGGTATTCTGGATAAAGCTTTTTGGGAAGCTGTTTGAAAATTAAGCTTGGATCAGTTACTCGTCTGCGAAATACATGAATCACAGGAATATTATTGTTGTACGCACACAGTACTGCGTCAGCTGCAGTAAGCCCGGAACCCACAATTAACACTGGGTCCGCTTTGCCACGCAACTTTCCTTTGCCTATAGCAGCTCCAAATTCAGGCATTGAATGGAACACAAAAGGAAGATCTTCCCCTTCAATTTCCAGATGGGCAGGAGAATCCAGCGTGCCAGTTGCCAGCGCTACGTTCTCAGCAAAGAGACAGAAGGGAACGTGGGAACCATCCGCTACTCGCTGATAACCTCTGATCTCCCAATTCCTCTTGATAAGTTTTGACTTCTCTATCTGTAAATGCTGCGCTGAAATATTTCTGTCTTGTCCATCACCATCACCTTGATCTCTGTAGAGTCTTGATACAGAGGTGATATAGGTATTCTCTCTGAAATTCTTCTGCAGACCCATGACTTTTACATAATGTTTATAGTAACGAGCTATTTCCTCTGGCATAACACGATCCCCTTTTAGGTTCCTAAAAAAGGAAAAACATGCTATGAAGATAGTACTTTGATAGTTTCCATGATTGTTCCTTTTCCATCTAGTAAGCTATGATATAGATCTTTTTAATTTCGCCTGTCTTAACTACAAATTATCCTTTAACAGAGAAAGCCTTCTTTAACAAAGTTCAACATTTAAGTAAAGAATTAGTTTTATCAGTCAGTCCCCTGAGGGTAGAGACTGTATTTTAATGCATCTGTTTCCCCAGGGCTTTGCATAGAATCTGTGCGGATTAGCTACCTTTACCAATGAATTTTTTAAATGAATTAAAATGTGGAAATTCAGACTACAGTCTATCTCACAACTATAAATAATCCAGTCTATATGCTATTCAGTCTACACACTATAATAGAATGACAGATTATAACATTGATATTACACTGCAGGTCTAACTACAATACATGATTCTTAAAGATAATCGGATTCTGACATGATTTTTTCTAAGTTGCTATTTTCTCCTAATGACAAAATAATTCATATCGGTCTTCTGAATAAAATCATCTTATATCTAAGTAGATAAAACAATTCTGTGTTTTCCTATTAACAGAGGTCTATAAATACACTTATGTACTTTTATTCAAAAACAGCATATTCATTTTCCACTTGAACTTTAAAGCAATAGGCATTAGTAACCCTCACTGGGCCCCAGTTAGAGAATAAGTAGCAGTAAAAACATACCAAATCATTTCACATAATTCATTACAAATTGTAACTAGAAGTTCATAAAAGTTTTTTTTTTGTTTTTGAGAGCTAGCACATGTAAGTGGGTGTGCAGGCACGTGCGTGGGGGAGGGGCAGGAAAAGGTGGGGGACAGCAGACTCAAAGCCAGTATTTAATGACAAGATTCTTCACATATTGCTTCGATATACAATGTGCCCAATGTAAAAGAATGAATACTTTTGGCACATAATCACAAAGCTTCCCCCCCCCTGGTTTTTTAATGTTTTTATTTATTTCTGAGAGATGAAGAGAGAAAGTGTGTGCAAGTGGGGGAGGGGCAGAGAGAGGGAGGCAGAGCATCCAAAGCAGGCTCTGCGCTGACGGCAGACAAACTCACAAACCTTGAGATCTTGACCTGAGCAGAAGTTGGACGCTTAACTGAGTCACCCAGGTGCCCCAAGGCTTCCCTTTTTTACCCCTATCACAAAAGGAAGAATGTTGAGCAATTTCACTTGCTTGCTTATGAAAATCAAATTGTACAACTTGCTTGATTTTGCTACTTTTCGTTTCAAACCAATATAAAACTCCTTTAAAAAAAAAAAAAAACCCAAAAGCAGGGCTGGTTCAGTCAGCACGTGTGACTCTCGATCTTGGGGTCATGAGTTTGAGCCCCATGTTGAATGCTGAGATTAAACAAATAAAACTTAAAAAAAAAATCCCAACAGGAATATTTGAAAGGTTTAATCTCTATGGCCCATGCTGGTCTGAATTTGTTCTCCTTAAATCTTCTCAAGGATAATTTCCATGGATTAATATGGTTTCTATCTAGCAGAAAGTCAAGCACTCAATGTTTACAACCCTGCAAAAGTTAAGTAACTTCCTGCTTTACTTGTTTCCGTGAGCAAATTAGGTTTCTCTATATTATCTAATTTAATACTACTATCCTTGAATATAAGGTTTTTCATATTTCTCTTCTTAAATTTTGGGTTTTTTGCTCCCAAATAAAACTATATTATTCCAAGGAGAAATTTCTTCTCAGTTCCTTCTATTTTCGTATTTCTTATTAAATATTTACCTCTATAGTAGCCAACAGTGTAGCCAATCATATCACAGATTCTGGCTTATTCCATCATTCTAAATTATTAAGCACATACACTCATCTACTCTGAAAGCCAAACACTGTAAGTACATATATGTGAGATATCCATACACAAACGTGTATATCCACTGATAACAGTAAGTGTAGAAAGGATTTGTGGGTGGATGAGAAACTAAACAGAGTGGTTTAACAGAGTGGGATAAATCCATAACTAACAAAAGTCAAAGAAACCCAATCTGTAGACAAACCTTTACCTGTGTGTGCTTAGTCTCTAAATGGAAACTAGCTCATGATGACTGGCTATGAAGAGGTTTTATTTGAAAGACACATGAATTTATACTATTCCAAGACAGGATCACAAATATTTTGGAAACTGCCAATGGACTTTCCCACTGTACATCAAAGGATTCTAACAGTTCGATATTTACCTTCGTTTGCTGGATACCCAGTCTTTAAATTTAAGTCCAGGTAGCTCCATCCAATTTCCAAAGCTGATTGTCAACATGGAACCTTCCATATTCTATTTGAATAAAAAATGCACAAACACATTTAAGCAGTAACATGGATTTGTAAAAAAAACCAAACCCATCTTCATTCACTATCATTAAGAATGTGGATAAGGAGAGCTGAAAGAAGTAGTTGTGTAAATTAAAAATACTTTTATCATTCTGTAGCATTTATATTCCTTTCATAAAGTATACATTTATAAAACAAGTTTATCATATTGCCAGATGCCTATACAATGTTGATAGCTTCAGCCTATAAAGTAATTCAGATACAGAATATGTTATAGGAAATCTGTAATTTCACTTTTTAAACAAGAGGAAAAAAGTTAATTTCTAACACTTTAGATGTCTACCCATTTTAACAGATTTTTCTTCATTTTATTTATTTAATTATTTATGTACTCAGAGACAGGCAGAGAACGAGTGGAAGAGAGGCAGAATCCCAAGCAGGCTGCATTCTGTCAGCACAAAGCCCGATGTGGGGCTCAAACCCACAAACCACAAGATTATGACCTCAGCCAAAACCAAGAGTCAGATGCCTAACTGACGTAGCACCCAGGCACCCCTAACAGATTTCTAAAAACTGGGCAGTGAAACAGCCTTTCCCCCTCCATCAATTATAACTGTGAAGTCCAAGCTGGCTTGGATACAGCAGCATCTCTTTCTAAAACTAAGGAAATAAGCAGTGGTTACCTGATTAAGAACAGACTCCCAGCTGAGGCTAATGCTGCCTTTAAGGAAGTGAGCCCTTCAAGCTCCCTTGTCCCACTTACTTCTGCTTTGCTCACTTCAAAGCAACAAGCCCAAGGGCCAACAGCACCTGTCCCAATGACCCCAATGATCTCTCTCAACCATTTCTTTTAGGCTATGGCTTTTTCTTAACTTTTCTTGTCCTGTTTTCTGAACAATCCGGTACTGGGAATGGTACTTATTATTACTAACATTTCCAGGCACTTACTATATGCTGGGCCATGTGAAGCCCATTATCTATGACAGTGTGTAGGTCACCACCAGGAGAGAAGGCAGCAAGCGGTCACTGCTCTGAGGCAGGCTGGGCCTGATACTATGATCACAACCAAGAAGACGGAAAACATCAGAAGGGAAACAATTTATTGTATACAGAAATTATCTGGAGCCATAATTGTCTTATCTGGAACTCAAAACCCTTAGGGCACTAAGAGTCCACTTCCTGTCAATAATCTCAACTTTATTCCCCCTGCACCAATTCTTCCGGTTAGTTGAGAGCCCTAGTCCCTGATCTCTTTTCTCATTATCTGCCTTGTTTTCCCTTATGTGATCTAAATGCCATGAATGCCTGCTATCAGGGACACTTGGTATATTAAGAGATGCAAACCTGACAGGAGCATATAGAAAGAGAAGAAACAGAAGCATGTTTCTTAAAGGACACAAATGGGCTGTAAGGAGTGTAATATTAAAAAGGGAGGAGGATGTTCCTGGGTGGCTCAGTCCGCTGAGCATCCCATTTGATTTCGGCTCAGTCATGATCTCACAGTTCCTGGACCGAGCCCTACATTAGGCTCTACACTGAGAGTACACGGAGCCTGCTTGGAATTCTTCCTGTCCCTCTCTCTCTGCCCCTCCCCCAATCTTGCCCTCTCTCTCTCTCTCTCTCTCAAAAATAAATATCTTTTAGGGGCGCGCCTGGGTGGCTCAGTCAGTTAGGCAGCCAACTTCAGCTCAAGTCATGATCTTGCGGTCTGTGGGTTTGAGCCCCGGATCAGGCTCTGTGCTGGCAGCTCAGAGCCTGGAGCCTGCTTCAGGTTCTGTGTCTCTCTCTCTCTGCCCCTCCCCTGCTCACACTCGGTCTCTTTCTCAAATAATAAACATTAAAAAAAAAAAATTAAAAAAATATCTTTTAAAAAGGAAGGGAGAATATTCTAGATTGGATAAAGACATCATGTGACAGTTTATAAAGAGAAAGAACAGGAGTGCCTGCAGGAATTAAAAGAAGGTCAGCCTTATGCAGGAAAGTATTAACAGGTTTGGGCTGCTTGAACTGTACACGTTACTCAGAAAGGTCTGTTTTTAAGGACTGGCTTTTGGCTGCCTCCTATGAGAGCAACACTGAGTGCTTTGAATATTCTATGTAATGAGTGATTTTTTTTTTTGTAGGCCAGAGGCCTTGGGCCATGCTGTACCAGTATAACTGTAGTTTATCCTAACAACAAGATTTATGGTAAACACCAATGTTTGCTCTGAGAGGCAAGGCAATCAGTTACTGAGATCAGTCATGTGGCCACTGCTGTTCTACATGACTGGCTCCCAGAAAATCGTGGACACCAAGGTGTGGGTGAACATCCCTGCATCCCTGATTGGCAACTCTTTGCACACGTTGTCACAAATCATTGTTGGGAGAATTAAGTGCATCCCCAGTAAAACTCCAGTAAAAATGAACATTTAGAAACTGGAGCTTGTTTTCTCCTGGACTTCATCCTATGAACTTTTCCCCTTTAAGGATTCTAATCTGTATCCTTTCACTATAATAAACTATAACCATGAGCACAAGACCTTTAAGGAATCCTGTCAATCCTAGTGAATCTAGAGTCTGATGGTGAACCTGGACCCCCCAGCAAAAGTAGGAAGCCTTTCCAATAATATGGGTCAAGGATGATGATGGCCAATATAGCAAAATTATAATTACAATGGGGAAAAGTAGGGTAGACGGACTTACCATATGTTTATGAAAAATATGGAAAAGATAGGATAATTGGTTTGGAGTGGGAGTTGAGGAAAGAATAATCAAGAAAGGTTTCTTGCTTGAGTAACTACATTACAGCGCTATTCCATAAGGAATTTAAGAAATCTGATAATAAAAATGACTATTTAGGCATGTTGAGTTTGAGAACACCAAGGAGTAATCAGGGGAAGGTAACGAGGTGAATATACAAAAGAAAACAATCTGGGCTACGGTTCTTGATTCAGGAATCACTCAGTGCAAGACAGTGGAGTTATAGGAGGAAAGCCGGGGAGAATGAAGAATATAAAGAGATGACCTTGGCCTGGGACAGAGTTTACAGAAGAGTACATAAGGTAACTGAAAAAAAGAGTGATGAAACAGGAAGAAAAACGAGGAGATGAAAGGTTCAGAGAATCTAAGAGGGATATCAACACTACCAAATGTTGCAGAGGTCAGGAGGGATACATTCTGAGACTCAGACTGAGCAAAAAGGAAGTTACTGACCTTCAAAAAGAAGCTCCAGGAGAAAAGGCAGTGACAGAAGCTACAGTCAAGTGAGCTAAGGAATAGGAGGCAAAGGCAGAGAAATAAAGGATAGGTAACTATTTCAAGAAGTTGGCTCTAAGGCAAAGGATACAGATAAGCTGGCACATAAAAACTTTATTATCGTTATTATTTTTGAGACACAGAGAGAGAGGTGGGGGCCATAAGCAGGCAAGAGAGGCAGAGGGGGGCAGAGAGAGAATCTCAAGCAGGCTACACACTCAGCACAGAGTCTGACGTGGGGCTCAATCCCATGACCCTGGGATCATGACCTGAGCAGAAATCAAGAATCAGACACTCAACCAACTGAGCCACCCAGGCGCTCCACATAAAAACTTTATTTTTTTTTTTATGTTTGTTTATTTTTGAGAGAGAGAATCAGCACATGAGTGGGGGGAGGGCAGAGAGAGAGAGAGACAGACAGACAGACGGGGGAGACACAGAATCCAAAGCAGGCTCCAGGCTGAGCTGTCAGCACAGAGCCTGAAGCAGGACTTGAACTCATGAACTGTGAGATCATGACCTGAGCCAAAGTCGGATCCTTAACTAAGCCACTCAGGCGCCCCTGAAAACTTTTCAATAAAGGATAATAATTTTAGTATATTCATATACTGATGAACAGAAGCCAGCAGAGAAACTCAAGATACAATGTCTCTGGAGAAGACAGGGATACAGGATACAGTCGGAAGGTAAGCCTCAGATAGAAATGATACCATTTCCACTCTAACAGGGGATAAGAAACAAGGAAGCAGTATGAATGGAGATAAGTTTGTAGGTTTGAGTACAAAATTAGAAAACAGAATCCATCACATAGGAATTAAGAATATTTCTAAATAGGAAAGTTAAAAAAGCAATAGAAGTTTGACAAGAACATTTAATAAGTAAATATCAAAGGATTACCAAACAGTGTTCAGGACCCAAATGAGGTTGGAGAGTACTTTTCACAGTTGTACAACTTTTTTTCTGGCAAGATTTAATAGCACAAGTATAGGAAAAGACAAAATTGACAGTTACGTGAATTGCTTTTACTGCCAAGCCTGTGAGGCAGAAGGACAATGAGGCAAGGGAATTAAGGAGAATGGCTAAAATCAAGGGACTATAGAACCTAAGCTGGGGTAGGCAAGGAGGTTAAGACCAGAGTTTCAAATGCTCTGTTTGAAAACTGGGTACAGTACGAACTGGGTAATGGAGCTGGAAGCATCAAGAGGTGTGGTCACAAAGGTATTTGAGAATTTAGATTTTCACGGAGTAGTTACAGTGGAACCCCAGGAGTTTGTGTCTAAGGAGGAATGGAAGAGATCGTTAAGAATGAAGAGATAAGAGACTAAGAGGTTAAGGTGTTGCTTCTGTGTCACATATGTAGTTACTGAAGGTGACGGTAAAACTTGAGAGGTAATGGAAAACCCTATCTGTTGCTTAAGCCGCTCAGTCTGTTATATCATTATAGCAGCCCAATAATACAACTTCATTGGGATGAGACGCTGTGTGAGATTTTGTAAAGTCTAAAATGAATTTAAAACTTTTTACTGTGCAAACTACTGTTGTAGTATTTTCTACTTAATTCTTGTAAAACAGTATAGAGAAGCTTATGCTAAGACTATCAGTAATCAAATGTGGCTTACCTTCTTGTAACCCATATTGTATTGAACAGCATTAAAATTCTCAGATACAAATGTGGTAAACACTGTACTTCATGTTGTAATGTTTCAGAATTCAAACAGCCTTCTCAAGACGACATATAATAACTCACATGGACTAAAATGCTAAGAAAAATATACTCACATGCCAAGCTCCACCAGGTGGACCTTTACCGAGAACTAGGTGAGGGATGTAATGATGTTGTTCTAATTTCCAATGCAAAACGGATGGATAATCGTACCCAAAGTCAGCATCTGGATGAAGAAGTGTGTCGAAAAGTACTGCCACTGGATTGGATGATCGGCCCTCAAGGCCCTCAGACAGGTATTCTAAGTCCTGAATGAATTTTTTAAAAAAGAAAAAAGGCAGGTAGAGTTTGAAGGAAAAAACAAAACTAAAACTAAAACACCACAGCTATTTTAATAGTGAATGAAAGCCATTACTCAAATCCAGCACTTCCTAGAGAGTGTTGCTACAAAACACACCTTGAGATCTTCATAGATGCTTTGGTCAAATGAATATGAGACAGGATTTCAAACAAAGCTAATCAGCTCCTTTTACTGCAAATCTTGAAGATCCACTTAATACATTAATATGCCTTAATATTTACTATGACATTCCAGTAACAAAAAGCAGCACTTCCCAAACTTATTTGAACAAACAGCACCTACTAAAACTCCCACCAGGAAATAATTTGGGAAATTCTGCTTTAATCAAAGGAAAATAAACAGAAGTAACTTGGCAGACTATATTTACAAATCAAAAATAAAAATGTTAGAAAATGTTGTCTAGAAGAAAGAATTTTCAGTTAAGTTAATACAATACTTATGGGCACCCGGGTGGCTCAGTTGGCTAAGCATCCGACTTTGGCTCAGGTCATGATCTCACAGTTTGGGAGTTTGAGCCCCGTGTCGGGCTCAGAGCCTGGAGCCTGCTTCAGATTCTATGTCTCCCTCTCTCTCTGTCCCTTCCCTCCTCGTACTCTGTCTCTGTCTCTCTCAAAGATAAACATTAAAAAAGAACTTTTTTAATAAAAAAAAATACAATGCTTATAAAAGTACAAAACTAACCTTGAGTATTAAAAAAAAAGGCAAAAGCACTAACATGTAAGAAATAAATACCTGATCAACAATGGAAAGATGTCTTCCTTCTTCTAATTTACTATGTAAGATTGCATTTGGATGTATTGCTTCTGATGATAAATATGGTCTGTAGCCCGATAACATGTAAGAAAGGCAGATTCCTGAGGGTCCATTTCCTATTACCAAAAAACAAAAAAGGTAGAGACAGGTGCATCATGTGTTCAAAAGCATATTCATGAGTTCCTTCATTCAGGTGCCCTTTCCTTTAAATATCAACCCCTCTCAAAGTCTGGTGCTAACAAACTCCTAAATTAATCAGGTTCTGATTCTAAATCTATTTAATCACTATATCCATTCAGCTGTCTTTGTTAGTGTCAATTCTTATGATCTCAGAAGATAAAAGTCTCTTGATTCTCCTCAAGAGACTTGAACACACTTCTATTCCAAAATCCTTTCACATTCTACATTCAGATGAATTTTGATAACACACAATCCTCATCATGCTACCCCCCCTCCATTTGGAAGGCTTTAACTGCTTGCTTTTAGCTATCCAGTGCTCACCATATTCTGGTCTCAATCAGACCAGACTGATCTGATACCATCTTCCTATATTTTTATTTGCTTAAACTAAAACTAAACTGAATTTTTTGCTGAACCCTGGTGAACTGCATCCATTTCTGTAGTTCCTCTAGTCCGGGTTTCCACTTCTCTATTATCTCCAACTACCAAAAATTTAATCCAACTATGCTAACTGCCAGCTATCAGGAAGGAAATCCTCTTCCATCTCTAATGTTTTGCCCCAAATAAAATAAACTCCAAGATGTAAATATGAAAAGTAAACTCATAAGAATATTAGACAATATAGGCTAATTCTTCTACTTATAATGCTGAAGCCTTTAAGTATGACACAAAACTCAAAAGACAGAAAGGAAATGAAACCATGTGACTTCTAAAAATGAAAATCAAACAAGAAATACTAGAAGTTAAGACCTGAGGCAGAGTTAATTTCCTTTAATCAAACCAAAGAGACAAAACTAAGGAAGTAGTATCATATGATAATATCAATACAAATAAAAGATACAGAAAAAGCATTTAATAATATCCAACACCTATTCATAATAAAAATAAAAAAACCTCAGCAAACTCAGAAGGAGGATACTTCTCCAACTTCATAAGGAGTACAGTAAATCTACAGCTAACAGCATACTCAATGGTGAAAAACTAGATGCTTTCCCTCTAAGATCAACAACAAGACAAGGATATTTCTTCTCATCATTCCTACTCAACAACACACCATGACAGAGGTCTTAGTTAATGTAATAAGAAAAGGAAAGACAGACTGGAAAGATATAAAATTGTCTTTGTTCACAAATGCCTTGATTATCTATGTAGAAAATCCCAAAGAACTGACCAAAAAACTCCTAGAACATCGAGATTGCAAGATACAAGGTTAATACACAAAAGTCATTTCTTTCTTATATACCAGCAACAAACAAGTGGCATTTTAGAATAAGTACACAACACCGTTTAATTTGTGCGCATGTGTGCATGCACACACACAAATACTTGGGTATAAATCTCTATATATTTAAGGTAAGTATATAGAAGATGCGTACAAGGAAAACCACAACACTCTGATGAAAGAGCCTGAAGATGATCTAAATAGATGTTCACGAATAAGAAGATTCAATACTGTTAAGATGTTAGCTCTTCTCAGCTCGATCTACAGATTCAATGCAATCCAAATAAAAATCCCAGAAAGTTACTTTGTGAATATTGACAAACTAATTCTAAAGTTTACATGGAGGAGCGCCTGGGTGGCTCAGTCGGTTGAGCATCTGACTTCGGCTCAGCTCATGATTTCACAGTTCATGAGTTCAAGCCCCACTTCAGGATCTGTGCTGACAGCTCAAAGCCTAGAGCCTCCTTTGGATTCTGTGTCTCCCTCTCTCTGCCCCTCCCCTGCTCGCACTCTGTGTCTCTTTCAAAATTAAACATTAAAAATAATAAAAAACTTTGAAGTTTAAATGGAAAGGTGAAAGACCCAGAATAGCGAACACAATATTGAAGAAGAAAGTCAAGACCAACACCATCCAAACTCAAGTCTTACCATAAAACTATGGTCAACAAAACAGTGTGGAAATTATGAAAGAGGAGCAAATCAATGGAAAAGGACAGAGCAGAGTTAGATCCTCACAAATATAGTCAACTTATTTTTGACAAAGGAACAAAGGCAATCCAATGGAGAAAGGATAGTCTTTGCAACAAATGGTACCATAACAACTGGACATCCACATGCAAAAATCTGAATCCAGATAGTAACCTTATATCATCGTTTACCAAAATTAACTCAAAATAGACCAGAGGCCTAAATATAAATAAAGCATAAAATTAGGAGACAAAACAGGAAAAATCTAGGTGACCCTGGGTTTGGTAGTAAGTTTTTAAATGTAACATCAAAAGCAGGATCCATGAAAGAAAAAACTGATAAACAGGACTTCATTAAAATTTAAAATTTCAACTCTGGAAAAGACATTCTTTTTTTAAAAAAAAAATTTTTTTTAACGTTTATTTATTTTTTTGGGACAGAGAGAGACAGAGCATGAACGGGGGAGGGGCAGAGAGAGAGGGAGACACAGAATCGGAAACAGGCTCCAGGCTCTGAGCCATCAGCCCAGAGCCCGACGCGGGGCTCGAACTCCCGGACCGCGAGATCGTGACCTGGCTGAAGTCGGACGCTTAACCGACTGCGCCACCCAGGCGCCCCTGGAAAAGACATTCTTAAGGGAATGAAAAGATAAGTCACAGACTGGGAGAATATATTTGCAAAACTTGTTTGATAATGTACTTGTTTCTAACTTGTACCAAGAACTACTGAGTCTCAACCATAAGGAAGTAAATAACCCAATCCATTAAAAAGTACACAAAAGATCTGAACAAATTATCTTTGACATCAAAGATAAACAGATGACAAATAAGCATATGAAAAAACACTCATCATGTATGATCACAGCCCTGCAAATTAAAACAATGAGGTACCACTACCCACCTATCAGAATGGCTAAAATCCCAAACATAGACCATACCAAATGCTGACAAGGACTTAAAAAAATTGGAACTCTCATTCACAGTTGTTAGGAATGCAAAATGATACAGCCACTTGGGAAGACAGTTTGACAGTTTCTTAAAAAACTAAACATAGTCTTATGATCCAATGAGCATTTAGGTATTTACCCAAGCGAGCTGAAAGCCTAATGGCTATGCAAAAACCTGCACATCCATGTTTACAGCAGCTTTACTCATAATTGTAAAAAACGGGCAGCAACCAAGATGTCCTTCAATAAGTGCATAAATAAACTGAAGCATCCATACGATGGAATCGTATTCAGTGACAAAAAAGAAATGAGCTATCCGGCCACAAAAAAGACCTGGAGGAAACTTTCATGTATACTGTTAAGTGAGAGATGCCAGTCTGAAAAGGCTCCATACTGTGTAATTCCATGGATATGATATTCTAGATAAATCAAAAACAACACACAGAGTAAAAGATCAGTGGTTGCCAGGGGTCGGGGGTTGAGGAAAAGGACAAACAGGTGGACCACAGAAGACTTTTGGGGCAGTGAAACTATTCTGTAAGATACTATAACTGTGGGTACATGAGGATACATGACATTATACACTCAGCAAACCTACAGAACTGTACAACATAAAGAGGGAACCCTAATGTAAACTACAGATTTTAGTTAATAGTAACCTATAAACAGAGTTTCATCAGTGATAACAAATACACCACACCAATAAAAAGATACTGATAATAGGAGAAACTGGAGGTAGCAGAAGGGGAATATATAAGAACTCTCTGTACTTCGTACTCAATTTTCATGTAGACCTAAACTGCTCTAAAAAATAAAATCTATTAATTAAAATAAATCTTAAATAAACGCAAAATAGCGGGAATTAGGATCTGAGGCAAAGAGCGAAGTTCCTTAAATCAAAAAGAAAAAAACACTCAACAGACATTGGCAATAAATGCACACAGGCAGTTCAGAGAGAAATAAATATGTAGGTAGAATGCTTCCTCACTCCCAAAGATGTCTCCATCCTAACCCCAAGAACCTGAGATTGTTACCTTATACAGCAAAAGGTAATTTTGCAGATGTGACTGAATGAAGGAGCTTGAGATGGGGAGAATATCTTGGTTCACAAAGGTGGACCCCATCTAATTATACAGATCCTTAAAAACAGAGACTCTCTCCCAGCTCTGGTGAGGGGGGGAAAGGTGATGATGGAAGATGAAGAGAGAACCAACACTGCTGGCTTAGATGATGGAGAAGAGGTCCAGGAGCCAAGAAATTAGAGTAACCTCTAGAGACTGGAAAAGGCAAGGAAACATTCTACCCTAGAGACTCCAGAAAGGGATGCGGTTCTGCAGATATCCTGATTTTAGCCCACTGAAACCAGTGTTGGACTTCTGACCTACAGAACAGTAAGATAATAAATTTACATCATTTAAAGCCACTAGCGTTTGTGGGAATTTGACAGCGGAAACGAGCTCCTGCTCTGTGCTCCGGCGGAGGGCTATTGCCAGCAGGAACAGTCCTAGAGTGTTAGGTTAAGCTACCCATTGGCTAGCTGAAGCAAAACACGAGTAGATGGTATTGGGGGGAGTGAGGTGGACAGGTACAGATCACGGTACTTTTTCCTTTTCTGATGCTCCCACAGCCCAGCTGAGACAAAAATAGGGTTTCTTTACTCATGCCGATACATTTGGGAAGGAAAATCCTGGGCTCGGGATTGGATGGAAGTGAGAAAATGCAACATGAGGTATGGTGTCTAAGATACCCTGGATGCAAGCCACTAAGACACCATCATCTCTCCCATCTCCCCGAGAGAGAAATCTAGGATAGAACAATCTTGCTTTCCTCCTTTCCTTCCTTCCTTCCCCGCATCCCCCATATGCCAGTCAGAGGACAGCACTTTTCTCCCCTTCCTGTTAACTTTGGAAAGGGGCTATCAAAGAAACTAAGGAAACTATAGGACATCAAGGTACATTATGCCCCATAATGCTTTCCTGCAGCAGTACCTGTAGTACTTGTCTGACCAGGTAAGTCTGAATATTAGATGCAAGATATACGTGACAGGTAGTTAAACACATGCAGTTACTTTATCATAAAAACTTCTGTAGTTCTGAAGTAATTAGATCTTATTAATTGCTTAATTTTTAGTATCTTATAGGACTATCTGTTGAGGTGGTACAAAGGATATAGGACACTAGCTATTGGTTAAGGTCATTATAAACATTACTGCAGAATACCGTAACGTTCATTACTGAGAACTGGTTACTACTTGCATAAGTTACTCAACTTCTGAGTTGCCCTGACTGTATCTACCCTACAAAAGAGGGCTCTAAGGTTGTAAGGCATAATCCAACAATGCACACAGAATGCTCTGTATAGAGCTCTAATAATACTGGTTATCATCATTGCCATGATGCTATCATAATTAACTCAATTGATAGTATAACATAATAGAGTAATATCAGGCTTTCAACAAAAGATTGTTACATTCTAACACAGAATCTAGTATCAGATAAACCCATTACTCTCTCCAAAGATTTGGTTATTGGTTAAACATATCAGAAAACCTAAGAGTATTTTTCAGGACAATCCAAAGAACTTGTGCCATGTAACTATGAGTAGACAGTAGCAGTAAGGACCATAATTTTAAGAGACAAAATTTAGTAACTTACCTATTACTACCACAGGCAAAGTCACTGATGAATCTTCCAGTAAAGAAGTTTCTTCAACTAATGGCATAGCTTTAACTTTTTGCCCCAAATTATCACCAAAATATTGCACTAAGGAATTAAAAATCTCTCCTTCGGTTTCAGTGTCACTATAGTTTCTTTAAAAACAAACACACAAACACGGAACAAAAACAAAACAAGAGATATAGTCAATATAGCCTTTATAAAAGTCTTTCTTCAGATTTAGCCATAAAATATTCAAGTCCCATAAAAGGAGAAAAGGAAGTCCTTTCTGAAAGGAATGCTTTCAAATTAGTAGATTAGCTTGCATGTCAACCTGTACCATTGTTAAAGTCAGAAATCTTTTTTTTTTTTTTAATTTTTTTTTCAACGTTTATTTTATTTTTGGGACAGAGAGAGACAGAGCATGAACGGGGGAGGGGCAGAGAGAGAGGGAGACACAGAATCGGAAACAGGCTCCAGGCTCTGAGCCATCAGCCCAGAGCCCGACGCGGGGCTCGAACTCACGGACCGCGAGATCGTGACCTGGCTGAAGTCGGACGCTTAACCGACTGCGCCACCCAGGCGCCCCTAAAGTCAGAAATCTTAAATGGCCGCTAAGGTCTCCGTTACCAGCAGGCCAAGTCCTAGACAAGTTCTAAATAAGACGCCATCTTCAGAGACAGAAGAGACAGCACTGTATTGGGGATTTTTAGAATTCTCTGGGATTTCCTAGGAATGGCCAGCTTCTCTTTTACTTTTTTCTAGTTAATAAAAAGACAGGTGCACTAGAGGTGGTATATTTGGAAGTCACATAAAGTATTTTAAGGAAAAGTTACTGTTTTTATACATTATAAACTATGCATTTTGGTAAAAGAAAGGTTTATACATCTTATTAATTCTTAAATATTGAAATATAGAGGGGCGCCTGGGTGACTCAGTCGGTTAAGCGGCCGACTTCGGCTCAGGTCATGATCTCACGGTTTGTGAGTTCGAGCCCCACGTCGGGCTCTGTGCTGACAGCTCAGAGCCTGGAGCCTGTTAAGGATTCTGTGTCTCCCTCTCTCTGACCCTCCCCTGTTCATGCTCTGTCTCTCCCTGTCTCAAAAATAAATAAAACGTTAAAAAAATTTTTTAAAAATATAGAAAGATCTCATTTTTTTTTAATGTTTATTTCTGAGAGACAGAGAAAGAAAGCGAGAGAGAGAGAGAGAGAGAGAGAGAGAAAGAGAGAACATGTGTGCAAGTAGAGGAGGGGCAGAGAGAGGGAGACAATCTGAAGCAGGGTCCTGGCTCTGAGCTGTCAGAATTTAACATGGAACCGTGAGACATGACCTGAGCCGAGGTTGGACATTCGGCCAACTGAGCCACCCAGGCACCCTGAAACACGGAAAGGTATTAATGCTCATTTCTAATCTACCTTCTTCCCCAGTTACCTCCCTAGAAACTAATTAAAAAAAATTTTTTTTAATATTTATTTTTGAGAGAGAGAGACAGAGCATGAGTGGGAGGAGGGGCAGAGAGAGAGGGAGACAGAATCCGAAGCAGGCTCCAGGCTCTGAGCTGTCAGCACAGAGCCCGACGTGGGGCTTGAACTTCTGAATCATGAGATGATGACCTGAGCTGAAGTCGGACACTCAACTGATGGAGCCACCCAGGCATCCCAAAACTAATTTTAACATTCTGACACACTCTTGCAATAAATGGAATATCCTCCAAACACAGTAAATGTTTTGCATTATACTAGTGATTATTTCAGAATAGAATCCCCAAATTATTTTTCATCTTCATATAGTCAGTAAAAGGCCACTAACTGGAAATATTAAACTGAGCACCAACTATGGGTGAGTATGCTTATTACCATTTCCAAAATGATAAACATGAGATGGGTCAGTTATTTCATAGGCCTCACAGATCCTGGAGGACAATGATAAATGGAGAGGATGAGGCAAAAACCAAAATTCCTGCTTCCCTATAGCCTCCCAAGGTCCCAGTCTGCACCAGGATAGAGTGGGCTTCTCCAGAATACACCGACAGCCTTCCTGAAGGTATAACCTCCACCCCAAATATCTGGACTCCCCTACGGATACATGGCTCTTTGGGCCAGAATAGATACCCTCTGGACATGGTTACTAGGGATAGCCCCTCCTCAAAGTGAAGACTGCTCCTGGAAGAAGTGTCTTATACTCAAATTATCCCTTTCAGATCATTCCAACTACTTCTCCGATCAGATCCAGGTATACTAGCTGTCTGGCCTGCTTCCACTTCTTGTTAACAGAACTCAACATCAGTGCATTATATTCATGCCTGTTTCTGATATTTCTCCAAAAAGCGTGCCAAGGGCAGGTTCCCTAGCTCACTTCGGATGCTTCTGACCAAAGTCCTTTTGGATACCCGGGCCTGATTAATATCATTGTGGAGGCTGTAAAGGCCACAATTCTTTGTCTGAAGATGAACACCTCACCTTCAGTCTCTTCCAGATTTCCCTATCTCAAACGTTGTTCCCATATATATAATCTGGGAAATAAAAAAAAATGATAATCACTCTTTTTGTTAAGGAGAGGTGTCCTTCAAACCTTAAACATTTCCTCCTTTTAAAGAGTACAATTCAAGGGCGCCTGGTGGCCCAGTCATGTCAGCATCCAACTCTTGATTTCTGCTCAGGTCACGATCTCCCAGTTCAGGAGATCAAGCCCCATGTTGGGCTCTGTGCTGATAGCAAAGAGCCTCCTTGGAATTCTCTCTCCCTCTCCCTCTGCCCCTCTGTTGCTCTCTCTCTAAATAAACTTTAAAGTGTACAATTCAGGGTTATTAGTATAATCACAAATTTTTGCAATCACCACCACTAATTCTAGAATTTGATCACCCTAAAAGTGATAAACCGAGTTAATAATAGTAAACTAGTTAGTAGTAAACTCCTGCACCCATTAAAACTCAGTCCCCATTCTTCCCTCCCCCTACTACTGGCAACCATTAATCTACTTTCTGTCTTGTTGGATTTGCCGATTGTGGAAATTTCATACAAATGGAACCTCTCATACATTATGTAGCCTTTTGTGTCTGGCTTCTTCCACTTAGCATGTTTTCAAGGTTCACCTACGGTGCAGGATGTGTTGGTACTCCACCCCTTTTCACATCTAAGTAACATTCCACTGTATGGATAGAATATATATTTTGTCCATTCACTAGTCAATAAACATTTGAGTTGTTTCCACTTTTTGGCTATACAAATAATGCTGTGAACATTCACATAAAAATTTTTGTGTGGACAAATGTTTTCATTTCTCTTAGGAGTACATGCAATGGCTAGATCATAAACTCTGTTTAACATTTTAAGGAACTGCCAAACTGTTTCCTAAAGTGGCTGTATCATTTTACAACCACACCAGCAATGTAAGAGGGTTCCAGCTTTTCCACACGCTCACCGACACTTTTTTTTTTAGCTATCCTCGTTGGTGTGAAGAGACATCTCGTTGCAGTTTGACTTGCATTTCCCTAACACATTCCCTAGTGACTAATAATGTTAAGCATCTTTTCAATTTACTTATTGGCCATCTGTATCACCTTCTTTGTAGAAATCTTCCATTTTTTGCCCACTTTCAAACTGGGCTTTTTATTATTGAGGTTTTTCTTTTTTTTAATTGCTTTAAAGCTTATTTATTTTGAGAGACAGCACAAGCAGGGTAGGGGCAGAGAAAGGAGAGAGACAATCCCAAGTAGGCTCCACGCTGTCAGCACAGAGTCCGATGCAGGGCTTGAACTCATGGGCCAGAAGATCAAGACCTGAGCCAAAGGCAGATGCTGAACCGACTGAGCACCCAGGCACCCCGATAGTTCAACTTTAAAAATCCTTTACACGTGTAGAGCACGTCTCTTTTCAAATAGATGATTTGCAAGTATATTCTCCCATTCTGTGGATTGTCTTTCACTTTCTTTGTTTTCTTATGAATCACAGAAGTTTCAATTTCTGATCAAGTCCAATTTACTTCTTCTTTTGTTGCTGTGCTTTTGGTGTCCAAGGAACCACTGTGTGCCTAATTCAACATCACCAAGACGGACTACCATTTTCTGTAAGTTTTAGATTTCTAGTTCTTATGTTTAGGTCTTTCATCCATTCTGAATTAAATTTTTATACACATGAGGTGTCAGGTAAGACATCTTTTGCTTGTGGATATCCATTTGTCCTGAAACCATCTGTTGAGGAGACTGGAATTTCCCCTTCATCTTGTGATCTCATGGAAAACCAACCAACCAACCACAAATGTATGGATTTCTGAACTCTTAATTCTATTCCACTGATCTATATCTTTATGCAAACACCATACTGTCTTGCTTACTGTTTCTCTATATTAAGTTCTGAAATTAGGAAGCAGTAGTTCTCCAACTTTCTTCAAGTTGTCTTGGCTCCTCTGAGTTTCTTGTAATTCCCTATGAATTTTAGTATCTGCTTATCTTTCTGGAAAAAAAAAAAAAAGGCAGCCAGGATTTTGATAGGGTTGCACTAAATTTATAGACCAGTTTGAGGAATACTGCCATCTTAATTAAAAATACTAAGCTTTTCAATCCATGAATATGGGATTCCTTTATAGTTCTTCTCAATGATGTTATGTAGTTTTCACTATTCAAGTCTTACAACTTATTCCTATTCATTCTTTTTGATGCTAGTGTAAATGGAATTTTTTCTTAATTTCATTGTCAGACTGTTCATCACTAGGGAGTATAGAAAAATGACTGATTTTTGTATGTTGATCTTGTATTCTCCAATGTTGCTGAATTCATTTATTAGGTCTAATAGGTTTTGTGTGTGGACCTCAAACAATTTAACTGGTCTGTTCCAATACTCTAGTACATGAACTAGAGCCAGCATTCTAGCTTATCTAAATCCTTTGTGCAGTGTAAGTAATTTGTTCTGATTTCCTACTGGTCATTAGTATAAACTGTATGTATGTAATGTGTGTATATCTATAATACTGGCATAAACTATTTGCAATAAACTTGCATGGTATTTGATTAATACAGATTAACAGAGAGAAAAAACTGAATCAAGAGAAACAAAAACCAAAAGTATGGTTCACTGGCTTTAGATAAAGCAATGATAAAACAAAGGCCTACTGGTAAGTATTCTTGCTAAAAAATTCAGCTACAATTTAGTTTTATAATATATGCATAGTGTATCACAGGTCTATCAACATTTTCAGTTTCTACTTGAGATATCCAATTTGATGAATGTTGTATTTAAAACAAGTATTTATTCTAATAAAAAAAATCTCCTTTTCATTTGGAACACTAAATTAGAAAATACAAAATTACAATATAGAATATAGTGTAAAAACATTTTACACACATGCAAAAATAGTTGTCCTATTAGGTATCAAGTTAAAAAATTATTTGAGGGGCCCCAGGGTGGCTCAGTTGGTTAAGAATCAGGTCATGATCTCACGATTGTTAAGTTCAAGCCCTGCATCTGGCTCTGTGCTGGCAGTACAAAGCCTGCTTGGAATTCTCTCTTTCCTCCTCTCTCTGCCCCTCCCCTGCTTTCTCTCTGTCCCCCACCCCCATGCTCTTACTCCTCAATACAAATTAAAAAAGACTATTTGATAAATATGATCTTGGAGACCTTCCATCTTTTATTTTTGAAATATTATAGTCCAGTCTCAAAACAAATTTAAGAGGATGGCACAGGCATAAAATTTGGGTAGCAAAAAGACTTTTCTCACATCTAGCAATATTACCGGAGTTTTTACAGTCTTTGGAAACATTATCCTAAACTGTTACCAAATTTATACTACTATATGGGAAAAAAAGGCTCTAAAGTTACAGATGTTCACCACACTGTTCATCTTCCAAAATAGTAAGCATGGAACAGTTAGATGGTTGAGAAGTCAGCGGACAGTTCTCAAAATACCTGTTCCTTTCAGATATTGTGTAAGATCCAAAATACAGAGGTTATCACAACCTGTTTAAAACGTATTATTCCTAATAAAATCGCTCAAAAAAAATAACATGAGTAAATTATAAACACCTTCCTAAAGAAGCCATCTTAGATGTTTTATTTTTTTAAATGAGATACAATACAGTTTTTTTTTTTTACAATGGGTATATTATTTATTAATCATAATTTTCACCTTTTGGCTAGCAAGTCTTGCTTTCCTTTAACCCTCAAGATCAAAACATATCAAGTACTTTGTTTTTGGGAAAGACAAATCCTCCAAATTTCTGTACAAAGAGGTAAGCATATGGTATCCACAACCTAGGGTTAGTTAAATGGATACAAATCCCAACCTGTGTCTTTAGAGTTCAACTGTACCAAAAGCGGTCAAAAGACTTTTGGACAGCACTTTTCTGAAAGGCATGTTTAATTTCTCAGGGGCTTCAGTTTAACAAGTTTTCACTAGAGGAATGGGTTTTCGAAACTCTCCAAAGTGGATCTGATACTCTCAAAACAACGTCTGTCAAACAGTCAACAAACTAATTTGCCTAGAACCCAAAATTCAGTAGTTTATTAAATAAAACAATGTTTTTTAAATAGCCAGAACTTAGAAATCCCTACAGAACTCATTGACTGAGAGGCTGGGCAAGCCTGGACTGTTGCTCTCTATTAAAGGAGTCCTGAACCTTCCCTGTGTCTTACACTCATTTGCAATTTGGTGAAGCCTCTGAACCTCTTCTTTAAATAATATATTAAACACATAAAAGATACATAGAATTTACAAGGAAACCAATTACATTAAAATACAGTTACAAAAAGTTTGTGACATTTATTTGCACTTCTCTATTGTATTAAAAAATAAGTTTAGTGATGTGTAAGCACTGTAATTTTGAGGAAATAAGTATACAGTGTTCCTAGAAATCTACCACTATGAAGTGAAAATGTGCATTCTATTGGTGACAAGGTCACAAATACTATGCTGCTTGTTGCTTATATTCATAGTTGAAGGACATGAAATTTTGATTGAAGTTTTTAGCCAATGTATCAGTTGTACCTTTCTTTACATACAAGTTCATGACCATGTGAGTTCTACCCATGAACTCCAATTTTAAAACTCTTGATCTGAGAGATGCCTGGGTGGCTCAGTCAGTTAAATGTCCAACTTCGGCTCAGGTCATGATGTCACAGCTTGTGAGTTCCAGCCCCACATCAGACCCTGTGCCAACAGGGCTGAGCCGGGAGCCTGCTTCAGATTCTGTGTCTCCCTCTCCCTTTCTGCCCCTCCCCTGCTCGTTCTCCCCCTCCCCCCAAAATAAACGTAAAAAAACAAAACAAAACAAAAAAAAAAAAAAAAACCCTTGATCTGAGTTTCAGATTTTACTAGAAAAAGTTTATACAGCATTATCCTAGCACATTCATAGACGCCAAAGTAAGGTGCTTTACTATTCTTTGCTAAGTCTAACATTTCTTCACAGGGTTAAAACCAGTTCCAAGTGTCTTTGGTCTTTCCACAACTGACTTAAGCATTGGCCAAGTGTGCTAGATCTAGAACACATAATATACTCACTTTTATTTTAAAATGCATTAACCTGATCATCCCTACAAACTTGGCCATAATGTGAGTCCGGAATGGCCACCTATTTCAAATTTCCACAATATATGGCTCACAATGACAAACATCTTAGAACAAAGTTAGCATCTACTACATCATTCCAATTAAAAGAGTTCTCCACCTCCCTTCAACACAGTAACTTATCGCGTTTAAAATAAACACATAGATATAGGTATAGGTACATACGTATACATACATACTAAAGGTGGGGTAGGGAGGAAGCTTCGCCAATACTTCCCTAAAACTTTGCACCACTTAGAAGTCTCAGGTCGCCGTAACCGACTCACTCCGGGCCTAGCCGGTTTCGAAGTCCCATGACTGGCACAGTCCAGGGAAAGGAAAAGGGGACAACAGAGGGCAGTCCCCCGGAGCGAGGAGCCCCCAAGCACAGGCGGCCGAGGCGGGAACCCCGACCAGGCAGGAACCAGGAGGCAGCTGCGGCCGAGGCGGGAGGCCGCTGCAGACCAGGCGCTCGCCCCGCATCCCGGACCCGTCCCGACCCCGCCCGGCCTCAGCATCCAGGCCGGGAAGCGCTCCGCCCGCTCCCGTCCCCTCCCCTCCCCGGCAGAGAAGTCACCTGAAATGACCGGCCAGGGAGCAGCGGCAGCACCACACCGGCATGGAGCGCGGCGCACGGGGCGTCTGAGCGCGACCACCGCGGCCGCCGCCGCCGCCGCCGCCTGCGCC